GCCTACACATGAACATAAACAGTTCAAATGGGCAGCTTATCTGACGGCCCCATTTCGCTCGGAAAGAGATACACCGTCAAAAGTGAAAATGGACGTTTTTGATTTTTGTCTTAATAATGACGAAGTGACTTATCTTCCTACCGTAACCTATTGACGATAAGTCACTTCGTCTTCCTATTGACGAATTGCTCCACCAATCCTCAGACATTCAGCAATTTGTCGTGGCATGTTTTCAACGGATTTAATAACAATTGGCAGGTAGTGATCTGATTAAAAAAAAATGATAATCGAGACTCCGCTCTTTTCCAAAAAGCCCTAACGGCGCTAAGTTGACTGAAATTTTCAAGACATTCCCTCTTTATTATCTAGTTTTTTAACTATTATAGCGAGAAAAGTTTTTAAGATCTTTTGACGCTTTCAGTCTGTATGTCTTTCTTTCATTAAATTATTTCAGGTGTGTTTTTTTTTTATAAGCATCTATTTCTGAAAGGCACTTCAACGCACCTAAAAGCTGTTTGTTTTCTTTTATAAACTTCTTTATTTCCTTCTTGCCTGAAAGAAAGAAATAATTTTGGCCAAATGGTTAGCATGTGCGCGCTGCATCATAAGGTCTGTCACTGAGTCAACTGGCATGGTTTTGATTTCCCGGTTGTACGTGACAAGGAGTAGGGTTGCCTGTCCAACCTCGTGGTTTTCCTCCCACTGCTAAAGACCCCTACACGCAAACGAATTATTGAAATAAAATTGAACCATATGTTAGTCCTGAAATGACCTAGTTTGTGTCGGGTGTCATATAAATGCTGACATGGATTCAGTTACATAAAATGGTGTCCTTATTGGTCAAGGTTATTGCATACATCTATGGAAAACTGAACGATTAGTACAAGATTAATTAACTCCCAAAATTATTGTGAACATCTTTTTTCTGTCGTATCAATCAATGAATAAAGATAAATTTAAATGTGTAGACACTTCACACTTCTATAAATTAATGTGAACCAGATTTCCATATTTTGTGTGAAATTAGCTGTTGAAAATAAAAACATGTCTGTGAATTGACTTAGAACTTCATGGGTAATTTGTACATTATAGCTTCGTATAAACCATTTAAATGGTTGTGGACCCTCGGGAGGTCACAATTTTCATCTGATTTTGATGAAATGTGAAATGCATGGTTATAACCCAAATATACTGAGCGCCATGGAAAACGCATCACTTTTTTTCCCAAATATTTTATTACTAGGTGATGTTTGATTCTGCCAAATCTTCGGAATTCGACGTGCGACAAACTGGTCAGGCCTCTATTTCGAGACAAAGATCAACTCCTTCACAAAAAGCCTCCCAGTTACTCATGGTTGGAAAGGTACAGGACAAGGCGATCTGCCATATTTTACCTCCGTTGTTTTGCAGACATTGTCCGCAAATTTCCACAGATGTGCTTCATTTTCGAAAGTAGAAATATTAGTGGACGTCCCTATTGTGACGTCACGGGGTACCTCTAAGGCTAATTGATGGCAATGTGCCAGGTATTTTGAGCGGAGTCGATGATACGAGTTCCATAAAAAGGTGATGCACACGAGAGAAATAGCTAACGGAATTTTAAGAACGTAGTGCAAAGGGGTCAGTGGGGAAAAAGAGTAAACAATAAAGTAGGGGACCCCTCGGGACTACATCTTATCGTTAATGCCATCCGGTGCGTGAGCCCCTTGTTGAATTCAAGAAATATTTTCCTAGAGCCACTTTTCAAAGTATAATGCGAAATAGTAGCATAATCCTTCGCCTAAATCAAGGCCGAATATGAAAAACAAGGACGAGTTCCCAATTAATTTAGCTGTGGTACCCCTACGGCATAAGCTAATAAAAAAATTAGTGCATACACGCCCATAACCTAATAGAGTTATTTTTAAGCCCTCGTTAGTTTAGGAAACTTTAAACTTAGAGATCAAAAGGGTTTAGGCTGAGAATTAACTCCGGCTTTACTACATACAACAGTATGTTGCTTAGAAATAAACTATGAAAGCCATAGCCAAAATCTTCTCAATTTTTATCATAAAAGAGGCTACCCACACAAAGTAGTGTCGGAAAATAAGAACAGGGCAATTTCTCTAGCCAGAAAAGACAAGTTAAGCCCGACTACGGCTACCATTTTGAAAAAACGAAAGTTGCTCGTTTTTATCACGGATTATAATCCAACTGCTGTTCAAGTTAGCATGCTCATAAAAGAGAAATGGCATCTATTAACGGGATCAGACATGTGCCGTTCCATCTCAAACATCAAACCAATCACGGCATTTAGGAGTAATCCTAATTTGAAGGATACGCTGATGAAAGCAAGATTCATCCATCCACCACGGGACCCACAAACCAGCGGAGTCACGTTTCAAAATCTATTCGAAAAATGTATCAAGAAAGACTGTGATATCTGCTACAAATTAGACCAAAATATCTACTTTATTAGTGGTAAAACTGGTAGGAAATATTCCTGCCGCACGGGCTATAATTGTTTAAGTAGAAATATAGTCTACCTATTAACATGCTCCTCGAAAAAACAATACGTACGTAGGAGAAAGCAAACGTGTCTTTTCAAAACGAATAAAGGAACACTATGCAGCTATTATACACAACAGGCCAAAGCCGGTCGCACTATACTTCAACTTAGATAGACATACGAGTAGAAATGTTATGATTAAAATTATAGAGCTTTTTAAGACTGACCCAGATAACGGCAAAAACGATGCCGTAAGGAAAGCCAATGAATTCAAATGGATTCACACTTTAAGAACATTCGCACCGGATGGCATTAACGATAAGATGTAGTCCCGAGGGGTCCCCCACTTTATTGTTTACTCTTATAAAAGAAATCATAGTAAACTTTTAAGTCAGACTTCCATTAGATTCCAGAGAGGTTCCATCTGAGTTCCTAGACAGCCACAAGGCTGGCTAGGGTGGAGAATGACTGTAGTTAATATTGTAATATGTACTGTGCATTGTACCATCTGTAAGCAGCTATATGATATATAAAATGTAAAAACGAACTGTTGCATTGTTATAACTGAGAGAACAAACATCTTAAGAAACCAGTAAGAAGCAAACACACAAAGTGAAGGAGAAGCAAGGACAGCTAGAGACAAATTCTAGACAATCACAAGGCTACAGAAATATGTAGTAAGAAAAGATGCATGGGTCGTACGTAAGATGTGGCGACCGATTTCCAACATACGTCCGCTCTCCACGTCTGACAGAAGGCCCATGGTGCTACACTATGTCAGAATGTATCAAATGGTTAAAGTAGCTAAGTCTCTAACTCTATATCATCAAAAATCTTCGACATTGAAAACACGAATTATTTGTCAATTCAAATCAACATTGGTCTTGTGATCTTACAGGGAAAAGATGGACTTCTGATGTCCAATATTCAAGACAAAATAAACATTTTACCATTGATACACGAATCGTGTACCATAATGCATTTCAGCGCCATTTGGAACAAGGGACACAAAGAACAGGGATAGACATATTCCACAATTCATGTCAAATGGTGACGCTATATTCTTATCTGGAGAGCATGCGCAATAAATACCATCGGTGTAGACTGGAAAAAACAGACGCTAAAGATTGCCATTCACATGAGACTTCTGGCGTATTTCGCCGAACATAACTGATTAGAAATTACAGTAAAAACAGAAACGATTGAATGTAAATCAATTTATATACATTCATATTACATTATTATATGACCCATTTTTGTCAATTTCTAGTTTCCAAATATTAGCGATTTAGCTCCTTTAATATGTAATATGAAAGTCAAACCCTAAAATCGTTGTCTGATTCTGCAAATTTATACACCAGTTACGCCCCTTCCCTACGATGGTCGTAAACATCCGATTTTGTCACAAAAACATTATGATTTTTAACCAAAATAATATATTTGGCACGAGGAACGCTCAAATAACAAAATATAGTACTAATGTTGATAATCAATGTTGATCTGAACTCTTGAAGATAGTCGTTGGTCATCAGTAAAAGAAGAATCGCATGGAAAATACTGATTTTTACACATTTTCAGAATATTGTAGCACACTAGTGGGTTTAGTGCTGGTCAGTTTGTTTCTTCTGACATGCACTTGAATGGATGCCCTTCATTACCACACCCAGAGTTCTAGGTCAGACCCGCTAAGATGCAGCTACATATGTTTTAGGGTGACACAGTTTTCAACATACGTAAAATGACCACTCACAGAAAATTCCACACGATTCATTCATTCCCAAAGTACTGCAGGATTTTAAGTTGACAACTTGCCCTATCATACCTGACCAAGATCAAAATTTTAGGTTTGCTACATTTTGAGTAGGAGCGTTTTGAAATTTGACCAAAACCACCAATTTCCAGTTATACCGGAAGTTGTCATTAAAAAATTTGTTCACTGCATCGCTTGACTTCTGTCAGCTAGGGGTCCCATAGACAAAGTATGATTGAAAATTGCTGACCCCAAGGGTTATCGGGTTTTTTTTTTCAATTTTTGCATGGTCCTAACGTGGACACGTTCTTAAGCATACTGCATTTTAAATTTGGTGTGAAGCTTTGGAATCGGCAATCTAGGACTTTCTGTTCCAGAGATATTCATAATATATGTGTGTGAAAAAGCTTGTGAACACGATAGAGATTGTCCTTCCAAATAAGCTGCAGTATAGACATAGCTGCTATGTGGACGTATTTCCACACCTTATGTGACTATTCTTTACAATGATACAGTGTATATTCATTCACTGGATAAATTTCTAGAAACTGAGCACAATATCAATCAGATCATGCAGACAGTTGTTTGGTATTTTGGTGTATTCTATTTGGTTTATAAGAGGTTATAATGAAGTTGGTTTAAATATGGTTAACATTCAGCATTCTGTAAATGGTGCATGGCTCTTAAAACATCCTCTGCCTATACTATATAATTAAAAATATTATTGTATTATTGATAAATTAGATTCCCTTTGTTTTATAGGGTACATTAACAGCTGATGAGGAAGCAGCTCTTATGTCAACTTACCATTATACTGGAGCTACAACTAATATACATCCCTACCTCTCAGCTATGGTTAATTATGCTCAACCTGTTAAATTCCAAAGTTTTGAAATGGCAGAAGGTAAACTACTAGAAATACATTCAACACCATATGTCATCAGCAAATATGTCACCATTCATGTTGAAAACAATATAATTATGAAATTTGATTGAGGTATAAATTTTACTGACTAGCTAGGCAGATCAAGATTCCTATCACTGTAAAACTTGTATCGTTTAATAAGGGGTTTTTAGCGCTAAAAACTATGCATATAGTTTAATTTCAAAACATCGTTTGATATCAATAAAAATCGTTTGGAAATTTAATTTAATTTAATGGTACACCGTTTAATTTCTCCGAGAGGTGTTTAGAAATGGCCGAAGCATTGACTTATCTAATGCGTTTATTTATTAGACGATCAGTCCAATTTCCCGAGAGGCGTTTAAAAATCAACACCTGTTAATTTATCTACTATGTTTAACTATTAGATGAATCGTTTATTTTCCCGCGAGCCGTTTATCCGATCGGTTCATTTTGATTACGATTATTTGCATATAAAGTGCGAATAAAAATGGTGAATATAAAAAAAAGCAAATCCATAGATGCTCACCTTACCGTGGTCGTAGTATTATTATCCATTATTCATTCAAAATAGTAATTCCGCCATTGACAAATACATCAAAAATTGGTAAATCACGTCCGAGGTAATTATACATTTGGAAATCCGTAAATCACACACATCCCAGTTAATGTATCTTCTTTAAATCACAAATGAATTAACTTCCACCTGCATACGTCAAAGGAAGAGATCGAAGTCAACCCCCCATTGTAATGTTGAACGACGATAATCTCGTGAGACTTCTCACTGGCGCCAAAATCTCTATAGACAAGCTGTCGCCCATTTTCATGCAGGTCAAACAGTATCAACAGGAAATATGCTTCAATGAATACTGCCTTGATGTTACGTAAACACTTGACTGCAGTACAATGATTTTTGTTATACCCGAATCAAATCATATTGTATTAAATCAAAGGTACATTATCACTACCCTAATATATGTACCCGTATGGTATTACAAAAATAATTTGTTGGGCAGGTCATAACGCGGATTGGGCAACGGTGTTAAAAAAACAATATACTAACTAAAAGGGAAAAGAAAAAAAAAAAAGCGAGGCCCTTCTCTTCCGAAAAGCCTCAGCATGCCAGATAAGTTTAAGGCCATACACAATCAAAAGTATTACCAGTATTTAAAAAAAAACAACAACAATACTGTATTTAATAATATTCACGGACTTGAAATAATTCACGTGTATTACAACCTGTATGTCACCTGTCCGAGTCTTAAACTCGGGCCATTTTTATTTGAGTCCAAAATGACGCGGGACCGAAATGACATGTAATGAATACACCATGCGTAAATATAATTCTCAATTGCATGAAAATTCTTAAACAAAAACATAAAAAAATCTCAAGTAATTATGCATTGTATCGATTGCTTCATTTAATTAGCTAAGTGAGAGTTCGGTTTTATTTACATACGTAATTCAATGTTAAATAAAATGTTAAACACTTAATTAATTGCTATGGATTAATAAAAAAATGATTAACTGAGTGAGATGTATGAAACTTTATATACCGGTAACAATTATGGAAATTCTTGTATATATACTCAGCCAAAGTAAAAACTTGACACTCGGGATTTTTGGGACTTGATTTTTAATATTTGGTTTAAGGCAACTATTTTAGTGTTATGTTGTGCACAGACGACCTTGGCATCAACAGAAAGCAAGAATACGTCTCGCCGAAAGTCCTTGACATTGATAACGTTCGTGATGTCACAGTACCCCCCAAAATGAAATTCACAGACTTGGAGAACAATCGGAATAAAGTGTTTAGTAACGGTTGTGGCCTCATCTAGCGTCTCGTACTGCCACACAACGTCTTCTCATGGATCTCAGAGCATTAGTAAACACTACCCGAGGAAGACGTCGCCACTGCTCAGCAAGAGCATGTTGAAGGTCCTGCAATGTCAGTGGTGGATTCACTTGCTGATGAACATGTCGACCCAGTTCGTCCCAGATGTGTTCAATAGGATTAAGGTCGGGGCTAAGCGACGGCCAATCCAGGACTTGGACACCGGCATTTCTTAAAAAATTCTGGGTAGCAATTGCTGTATGGGGTCAAGCATTGTCTTGTTGAAACGTTAGTCCAGGCCCATGTCTCTGCATAAACGGAAGAAGAACAGGTTGCAAAATCTGATCCCTGTACTGAACAGCATTTACGTTCCCTTGGACAACAACAAGAGGAGAACGTCCATGTGTACAAAAAGAACCCCAAACCATGACGCTGCCGCCACCAAATCGGTCAACTTCTCTGACGCCTACTTGAGCGTAATGTTCAACTCGTCTGCGGTACACTCGGACCCTGCCATCGGCAAATCTCAAAGTGAATCGAGATTTGTCACTAAAGACAACCGAATTCAACTGTCTTTGAGTAAATCTTATGTGTCTTGTGGCCCACACAAGTCGGTTACGGCGATGAAGAGGTGTCAATATTGGTTCATTATAGGGCCTCCGAGCTCGAAGACCAGCAGCCTGCAAGCGATTTCGAACAGTTTGTGCAGTTACCCTTCCACCAAACATCTCTCTACTTGTGGAGGTTGCAGTGCCAAATCTGTTTCTAAGATGACGTCACTGGAGTGACGTCACACGTGGCACTCCCGCCCTTGGGCGGTCGGCAATAGTTCCAGTTTGAAGCACTCTCATTCTAAGATTAATTATTGTTTGGCGTGAACAATTAAAGGCTCTTGCAACAGTGACCACAGACTGATCAGCATAGAGCCTACCTATAGCACGTAGACGTTCTACATTTGAAAGGCGCAGCATTTTCTAACAAAGATGAAAATAACAATTTTAATTTGTTTTTCCAGTTCAAGTTACGTGTGCGTGTTCAGTTTAAGCAAACTTGCTTCGATTGACCTCATGAGTTTGTGTTTGCATGTGTTTTTCAGGTTTTTCATCTTTGTATGCTCAAAAGTCACGTGATCTACGTGACTTTACAATTTTGTGAAATTAAAGACTTCTTACTACTTACTATGGTTAGAAACACTTTAAAATTTATTTGACTTACCAGAAAAAAAAAAATTGTTGAAATTCAACAGTGTCAAGTTTTTAATTTGGCTGAGTATATGATGTAATAAAAACATTATAGTCAATGATAAAAAAAATCAGTTCCCGAGAAAAGTATGATAATTCTTTAACAACCAATGGTTTTCTCAAATTAGTTTAAAATTAATACAGACATAAATCATTAAATGGTTATAAAGCTGTGATACCTGACCAAAAGTTGTTACATGTATGTTTTTCTTGATAAAATATTAAAATTAAAATTAAATAGACCGAGAAAAAGCTTACGATCACATACATGTATAATTGTGTTAACTCGTCCACACAAATCCGAATTTATATCATTGCACCTAGCACTATACGACTGGTACCGTGGAATCTCGGGTAAATAGCGTTATTATCTAATCTATGTAGAATTATTCATAAATATCATTGAATTTGGCCTAATAGCATTCAATTTGTCCTTGTATACAACTTAAATCTCAACGTGCAATTTTGATTACCAAGCGTTAATTAACTAGTGTTTAGTTTGTCGACACATGTGTAATTATAAGCGTCCCGCTTAATTTTCACACCTGTTCAATAATTAGTTGGAATGTTCATTTTCCTGAGTTGTGATTAAAATTAGTCAAGGTGTCCAATTACGCCAGGTATTCAATTTCGTTGCCGAACATCCAATTTCACATGAATTGGGCGACATTTAAAGTAGATGTATATTGTCACAGCGGAGATTTGTCGCCGATTAACACAGACAGACTAAGAATATAGTCCCAAAAATGGCGCGTTTCTGACCATGTGACTTACCGTTAAGCGCCCCTTGGAGTGGATCGAGTGCTCTATGAATGATTCATTTAGATTAACTGAAGCTGCAAGCTCATCGTATGACGTATATAATTTAAAGTTTGGATTTTATAGCAGCCAATAATTGATGGATTACATCTAAGTTATAGACAAAGATGTAATGATACGTTGTAAAAAAATTGTAAGTTGTTCATTGTTGCATACATTTTGGCCGACGTTATATGCATGTAAAGTGCGTTAGAAAAAAATCCTAACCGATACAGAATGCCGGTAAATGTTTTCCTGAGATTACCAAACTCATTTTGTTGTTATTCAAACCGGCCTGTACATTATACATGTACACGTTTTCACGGCAGCATTACTATATTACAACTCCTTTAATATAAACATTTCGTTAAAATGTTCGGCAACAGAATTGAATACCTGGCGTAATTGGACACCTTGACTAATTTTAATCACAAATCGGGAAATTGAACGGTCCAACTAATTATTGAACAGTCGTGAAAATTAAGCAGGACGCTTATAATTACACACGTGTCGACAAACTAAACACTAGTTAATTAACGCTTGGTAATCAAAATTGCACGTTGAGATTTAAGTTGTATACAAGGACAAATTGAATGCTATTAGGGCAAATTCAATGATATTTATGAATAATTCTACATAGATTAGATAATAACGCCATTTACCCGAGATTCCACAGTACCAGTCGTATAGTGTAGAATTCTGTATAAGAATCAGCTTAGAATACCAAAATGCGAATCGTAACACATTGTGGTCTAAACTGTCATAAAATAAATGATAAATCAATGGAACCTGTTAGAAGTTGGTAATGTTAGTTTATTTAAGGCACCACGTAGTCTTAACAATTGAATACAACACGTCTCGAAAAATCGGCTACGTGCAAATGTATTCTTTGATCTCATATCACGGGGCAATTCTGTGACCCACCTGCATGAGCCTAAAAACATTACAAGTTCTACCATGATAATTTCGTTGCACTTCTCGCGAACCGACGAATCGGATATATTTAAAGATACATTATGGGAGATTTTTATAGAGAGTTGGCCATTCTTGCTATAACAGTTCAAAAGTAGATGATGAAAGAAGAATATATTGAAAAATTCAGTCAAATTACTTTATTCTGAACATAG